GGGACAGGCAGGAGCAAAGTTCCTACAAAACCAAGAGCCAGGCCCTCCACCACCCATTTCTACAGATAGATTTCCCCTTGGGGACTCACCCCTGCTTCCAGCCCCATCCATTTGTGCTCCTTCAGAACACAGTCACTTAGAATAATTACAGCCTCACTTGCCATAGTACAAGTCCCTGAATGTTTCCAGTGAATGCCATCACAAGCTGACTTATTTACTCCAGTACAAAGGCAGGTCGGTTATTTGAAATACACAGAGGACAATTTTTTTTAATAACATTCTTCCCTTTGCCATCAGTTTTATGGTTATGCCACTGTGAATTTTCCTAAAGTGAGGTAAAAATCTATGTAAAGTTGTCTGGTTTTTGGAGAGTTGGGGTTTCCTGGGGAGGGAGGTTGGTTGGTTTTGTGGTTGGTTTTTTTTTTTTTTTTTTTTTTTTTAATTGAATAGCCCAAATGCCTATTCAGTGCCAATCTACGAAAGAATGGAGTTAGCATTTTCACACCATTCCTTCCTATACAGTTCTTGAATAACCATCTAATCAAGATTTGTTTTCAATGGGGGACAAATCTACAGTAGAGTATTTCAAATTTATTCCATTGGAATCTATACATTAATGTCCACTGGATGAAAAGGACGTGTTCACAAAAGCCTGGACTTTGCCTTACTGTGGCAGAAACTTTCCCACTGGATTCGTGTTAAAAATAAAAGCAAGCCTGGGAAAGGAATTGCCTCAGCATTGTGTGCTGGGGGAATGAGGCTCGCTTGAATGGAGAGGCAGAGTTCCTCCATCGCATCTGTACCCATATCAGTGAAAGAAAATCAGCCTTTGATGGCAGCTCACTGCAGTGGGGGCCAAGTGTACTCAGGGAGGTGTGTAGAGCCCTGTCAGTGAAAATCCAAATGGCTCATCAGGTCAACTTGTTTCTGTGCACAGGTTTACGTTTGTGCCACTGTGGTTTTTAGTGAAGTAAGTAGCAACATTAATGCAATAATCATAACTCAGAGTATTTAGCAAATAACCTTCTTGTTTAGATTGACTAATTCTTCATTGCAGTTTGATCAAACAAGCAGGTAAATTTTTCTCATTGTTCTTGTGTATCTGTGTTATGGATATGGAGGATAAAATAAGAATTTTTGATTCTCACACTTTCTGATCACAAAAGAAATGTCCACCAGAGCTTTCAGTATCTTTTTCAATGAGAATAAAGATGGTCCTAGATCTTTTGCATTTCAAGTTTCATTCCTTAGAGAGCCAGTAAGCGTGGATTCTAATCACAACCCTCTTACTTGCTCACTTTATAGAACTTAGGCAAATCAAGTAAAAACTTTGAGAACCATAACTTCCTCCTACCTCACATAGGAATAGTAATAATGTCCTGAAAACACATAGGATTGCTGCAAAAAAACAGGTGAGTTGTTACATGTGAAAGAATTTTGTAGTATAATAAATTCTACATGGATATTAAGTATTATGGTAGTTATGAGAGAGCTGCTTCTTAGAATCAGCTGAAAGAAGTTAACTCTGTCATCTCATGTCTCCACTGTTATCATTGTGACTGACACTGTGATAAAGTGTATTGAAGGAATGTTTCTACCTGTGTAGAAAAATATTTTCGTAAGTCCATCCTACCCAGAGATGGTGATTTTACCCCCGATTGTTTTACTGCCTACTATTTTACTTAAATGAAAGAGACCTCAATGACAGTGAATTTATATATAGAAAAATCTACATTTTAGTGATAGGACGAGTTGTTTAATTTCTTGCATTATTCCTTCAAACACACACACACACACACACACACACACACACACACACACACAATTTTAAGTTAGATGACTGGGGCTTTATTAATGTCTCCAGGCCTAGAAACATGAAGGTTGGAGGTAGTACTTGTAAGTTTTAACTTGAAAGCTGGTGTTCCACCCGCTTTACAACAACCCTGTGGACCCCTAATGCTGACTCCCATCCAGGGACAAAGTGTGTAATATAATGACACAGTCAAGAAAGAACTTCATAGCCAGACCACTGGGATTCATACACCAGTTCTACCAGCAGTCACCAATGTAGCCTTGAGTACATGTCTTGTTTTCTCTGGTCTCAATTTCCTGATGTATAAATGGGAATAATAATGCAATCTTCTCCCTGTGGTTGCTCTGAGGAGCAAATGAAGCAATATACATAGACTGGTTTGAACAGTGCTTGACAGATGGGGAGACTTAAATAAAGGTTCACTCCTGTTACTGTTCTGCTATATACGTGCATTGAGAACTCAGGAAGTTGGAATTTGGTCCATTGACTGAATTCTTGAACATCCTTTCTGAATTATACGGACATTCATCTACAGCAGTATTTTATATTAGCAGTTATAGGACATTTTCCATAATCATTCAGTTTGGAAATAGAATTTGTTTTACATACATGAAAAAGATGAAAGCTGTACTTAATACAGTATTTCCACCAGAGGATTTACCTAATGAAGGTTGAAAGAAGTTCTCTTACCTAAATTAATGTAAACTGTATCACTGAGTGTGATACAAGGGCTTGAGGGCACTTGTTACACTTCAAGGATTATAAGAGTGATCAAGTAAGCAAGGTAAAAAATGCAGTGGAGTTCAGACTTCCCTGAGTAAGTCCTCTATTCTAAGGCAGAGGCAAAAGCACCTGAGGAAGCAGGCATGCCTCCTGTGTACAGGCTGGTACCAGGGTGTTGTTGCTCATCACAAGACAAAGGATCTGTATCACAGACCAACAGTCAGTACTTGAGCTACCTAGTTTTGAAAGTCAACTTCCTTGGCCTCTCTGCAACTAGAGAGCTCAACTGTGTGTGAGCATTTTTTCTCACTGTTGTGACCAAATACAGAAAAACTTTAGGAAGGAAGGATTTATTTTGACTCATTTCAGTTCATGGTTATTTGACTCCATCATGACAGTGGGCACATGTGGCAGGGAAGGTTCTACATCTTGTCATGGACAGGAAGCAAAGAGAGGGGAATCCACTCAAGGACACATTCCCAGTGATCTGTTTTCTGCTCCCCCAAGGAGGCCCTACCTTCTACTTTTAACCACCTCCCAATAAATTTATCGAAAGATCAATTAGTTCATTAGGTCAGATCTTTATAATCTAATCATCACTGAAAATGCCCTGACAGACACAACCTGAAGTATCCCTTGCTAATCTTGGCATCATTTAGTCTGATCAAGCTGACTGTCTAAATAAAACATAGCAGATTTTGAAGGCAAGAATAGGAATCTTTCTGAAGAATGATCTGTAGAAAAAAGACTCTTGAGAGCCATCAGGAAGGTGAGGGAGAGAATGAGAAAGCCCTAAGACTCTACCCCAGCCACCTGTTACCCTCTCACTGTGGACTGCCATTACCAACATTAATCACCTATGTAGACAACATAAAACGTAGGATAGCAATGGTTCAGACTAGCAGTGCCTCCACATAGCTGACTGTTGTCTTTGCCCTGGGAGCTGATTAATAGTTTCACATAACACCCTACCTCAGAATAACACATTACCCTCAAAGTAATTGTGGATTCCACCTCCAGGTTAGTTCCTGCCCTCCTGGCTTTATATATGCTTTTTTAATTGAAGTTTTGAGGTTTTCATACAATATAATTTGATGGTGTTTAGATCATTTCCCCATTCCTACCTCCCCTTATGGCCCTGACTAATTTAATGTACTCAATTGTATATATACTATGGCCTATAGACTCTTAATTTGTATCACCAAATGTCCTTCAGTGTGGGTCTAGCCACTGGAACCAGGTTAACCTACCAAGAGTCCCCTGCCTAAAAGAGACTGTCTTTGCCTCTCCCCACATCCATCTGTTGCCACAATTTCCTTAGGTGGGGTTAGAGCATTTTACCCCTTCTTCATGTCTATGCAGGGATTTTGTCTGGTTTAAGCTTACTTGCTGTCAGTTACTGTGAGTTCATATGAGTAACTGACCAACTGTCTGGAAAATTATTTCCTTGTGGTCATCTCTAGCTTCTGGTTCTAACAATCTTTCTGCCCCCTCTCTTGGAATGATCCCTGAGCATTGAAAGGCAGAAGTTTGATATAGGTGTCCTATTCAGGGATAAGCGCTCTGCAGTCTCTAGCTCTCTGCATGTTCTGGACCAATTATTAAGTGTTCCCTTTCACTCTAAAAATGCCCAGTTTGAATGATAAATGTGATCACCTAGTAAAGTCTGGTCTTCCGGTTTGTCGCAGTCATCTCTGGCCTCTTTTAGCTTTCTTTCTCATTAAACTTCAGAGCATCACCTCTATCACTCATAGCCATCCTTGAAAGTGTTCAGACTGTCAAAGGTGGTAAAAGTAAGCAGATACAGAAACCAGCTAGTGAGTGCCCCTCTGCTAGCAGATTGCATTCTGCTGCCCACCCATCATCTGGAAAACATGGCAGCAGCTTTATGGTAGACATTTTAGTCTGGGTTGAATTTTCCAAGTTTTTTGCATTGTCTGGTGTGGGATATGGTGATTTGCCATGTAAACCAGGAGGAGGATTAATTTTTAAACTATGATCATTGTTGCTGCCTATGATTAAAACAAGGAACTTAACTAACCTGGGGAGGGAGGATTGAACTTTCCCAGAGGACTTGGGTTTAGGCCTGTCCAAGGAGAGTAAAGGTGTTCCCCCGAGAACAAGTGTTCCCTTTGTCTCTCAGCTCTTACTGAACTTGTAGGAATAGCAGCCGACCCATCTGACCCATCTGGTTATTCTTTCAGCAGATAAGATCAGCTGAATTTCCTGGGGATTAATATGAATGCAGCGTCCAAAATTGCTGGGACACTAAGGTCAGAGTGGAGGTAAACTCAAGGCATTAATGGCCTAGGCTTTGTGTGCAGCCTGGCGCCTGTCTCCCGGCCTGTGTGTGTGTGGGCAGGGAGGGTGTTTCAGCCTTTGCTCATCTGAGACCTGGGTTGTTAGAAATGCAGGCTGCTAGATCTGACGTACCCCGTTTTCTGTCTGCCTCACTGTCCTGCAGGTGACATCAGTTGCAAGGGGATGACCGAGCGCATTCACAGCATCAACCTTCACAACTTCAGCAATTCCGTGCTCGAAACCCTCAACGAGCAGCGCAACCGTGGCCACTTCTGTGACGTGACGGTGCGCATCCACGGGAGCATGCTCCGTGCACATCGCTGTGTGCTGGCAGCCGGCAGCCCCTTCTTCCAGGACAAGCTGCTGCTGGGCTACAGCGACATCGAGATCCCGTCAGTGGTGTCAGTGCAGTCGGTGCAAAAGCTCATTGACTTCATGTACAGTGGTGTGCTACGAGTGTCACAGTCAGAAGCTCTGCAGATCCTCACAGCCGCCAGCATCCTGCAAATCAAAACAGTCATAGATGAGTGCACGCGCATCGTGTCACAGAACGTGGGTGATGTGTTCCCGGGCATCCAGGATTCTGGCCAGGACACACCACGAGGCACACCAGAGTCGGGCACATCTGGCCAGAGCAGTGACACGGAATCAGGCTACCTGCAGAGTCACCCACAACACAGTGTGGACCGTATCTACTCGGCGCTCTACGCTTGCTCCATGCAGAATGGCAGCGGTGAACGCTCCTTCTACAGCGGTGCGGTGGTCAGCCACCATGAAACTGCTCTTGGCCTGCCCCGAGACCACCACATGGAAGACCCTAGCTGGATCACACGCATCCACGAGCGCTCACAGCAGATGGAGCGCTACCTATCCACCACCCCTGAGACCACGCACTGCCGCAAGCAGCCCCGGCCGGTGCGCATCCAGACCCTGGTGGGCAACATCCACATCAAGCAGGAAATGGAGGATGACTATGACTACTATGGACAGCAAAGGGTGCAGATCCTGGAGCGCAACGAATCTGAGGAGTGCACGGAAGACACCGACCAAGCCGAGGGTACTGAGAGTGAGCCCAAAGGTGAAAGCTTCGACTCAGGGGTCAGCTCCTCCATTGGCACTGAACCCGACTCGGTGGAACAACAGTTTGGGGCAGGAGCCACAAGGGATAGTCAAGTGGAGCCCGCCCAACCTGAGCAGGCTGCAGAAGCCCCAGCTGAGGGCAGTGCCCAGCCAAACCAGCTAGAAACAGGTGCTTCCTCTCCGGAGAGAAGCAACGATGTGGAAATGGACAACACAGTTATCACTGTCAGCAACAGCTCCTCGGATAAGAGCGTCCTGCAACAGCCTTCAGTCAACACATCCATCGGGCAGCCATTGCCAAGTACCCAGCTCTATTTACGCCAGACAGAAACCCTCACCAGCAACCTGAGGATGCCTCTGACCTTGACCAGCAACACACAGGTCATTGGCACAGCTGGCAACACCTACCTGCCAGCCCTCTTCACTACCCAGCCCGCGGGCAGCGGCCCTAAGCCTTTCCTCTTCAGCCTGCCACAGCCCCTAGCAGGCCAGCAGACCCAGTTTGTGACAGTGTCCCAGCCTGGCCTGTCCACCTTTACTGCACAGCTGCCAGCGCCACAGCCCCTGGCTACATCTGCAGGCCACAGCACAGCCAGTGGGCAAGGTGAAAAAAAGCCTTATGAGTGCACTCTCTGCAACAAGACTTTCACCGCCAAACAGAATTATGTCAAGCACATGTTCGTACATACAGGTGAGTACAGCTCATCTGAAGGCCTGTTTATCAGGCTCTGCAGGGGTATGGGGAAGGAAGAACAGGACAGCAGGTTGAACAGAAGGTTTAGAGTCATCTTTCAGATTTTAAAGAAACCCCACCATAGGCCTCCCCTGGAAGCCCCCAGCTGTGCCCCATCATAGGAATAAAGTACCCCAAATCACAGAAACCCTTTATGGAAAAGAGGTGTGCTATGGATGTACAGAAGTGAAGAATCAGGGCATCATACTAAAGTATCTGAGTTTCATTGGCAGTGTAACCTAGGTTAAGAGTCTCCTCTTTGGAGCCAGAACACCTGACTTGGAATCTAGGCATAGTCAGTACAGAACTATGTCACCTTGGAAGAAATCACTTAACTTTTTAAAACTTCGGTTTCCTTTTAAAAACAAAAATGCCAAGAATAATAGTGATGCACCTTCCTTACTGTGCTGTTGATTAATATACGTGAAGTTCTGGGCTGGAGAGAGGGCTCAGCAGTTAAGAACACTGACTGTTCTTGCAGAAGACCCAGGTTCGAATCCCATCACCTACATGGCAGCTAACAACTGTCCATAACTCCGGTTCCAGGGGATCCGACAGCCTCTTCTGTCCTCCACGGGCATTGCACGACACGGGCGCACCACCTACATGTAGGCAATATACTCGTACACATAAAAGTAATAAAATATTTTTTAAAATATATGTGTGAAGTTCTTAAAAGATCTCCTAGCACATAATAAGCACAGTATACTTATACTGTCATCACTGTTAATAGCATTATTAAGATGGCTGGGAAGAGTATGTATTAATTTTATTCTGGTTTGCTCCAAAAAAAAAAAAAAATAGAATTGGGTCCCTGATTGAAAACTCTGAGAGTCAACTAAATAAAATAAAAAGTTTAGTGATCATTACTGCTCTAAGATATGTTTATTCCTCCAAAGGAACTGAATTTCTGGAATTAGAGGTCTTTAAGGAAAGAATGGATCATTTCATAAAGAAATGTCAAGGATTCAGGGCAAGAGGAGTGGTTCCTTGTGTCCCTCTATTCTCAAGATAAAGATCTCCTGACCTCGCAGATGACCCCTTGTCCTGGAGGTCCATAATAGGACACAGATAGAAATGCCTCCTTATAAGAGCTATGGTTAAGATTCCACATAGATTCTCCTAGAACTACATACACCTGCTACAATAATGACCATCATATTTTAAATTCGTATGAGTCATCCTCCTGGCAAACCTTTGAATCCAGAACAGTTCTGTTAAATGGCAAAATTTCTCAGGGAACACACACATACCGGAATTCCAGCACATGGAAACACTTGTTTCTCAAAGCAGCCTTACATCTCAGATCAGACTAATAGCAATCTAAGAGACAGGGCATAAAGCATATGCATTTAAATTGAGAACTGGAAGAAAAGGGAAACAACTGACACATAGACAAGACACTCAGCATACAAGGAGCAGCTGAAACAGTTACCTAAGCTGAGTTTTGCCTTCTTTGTAATTCAGCTTAAGTCAGAACATTATGTTAATCAATATAAGTGGCTTATGCTTATGGTTTACAGTTTTCACGCCTCCAGATAAACATAGTGACTCACTGTTGAATTTAGGAGGAAAACTGGGTAGTGATAAGTCACTATGTTTAATCAAGGTAAAGGAGAATGCAGTAAAAGATCAAGTGAAATCAAGCAACAATGTTTTTATTTATATAGCAATATATGAAAAATGTGCTCTCAAGTTTTAGTCTTTTCCTTCTAAAAACAGATGATTTGAAAGCCAAGAAATTAAGGATTAGCAAGAGAAAAAAGAAGTCATTTGTAAAAGCATCTCCTTAGGCAAAGCTGAGTTTACTAGTCTTGGATCCATAAACATATCTAATCTGTTCTCCAGTCATACCTTCCATAGACCTATCCAATGCAAAATCGACACATTTTCTTATAGTACATATTGAAATATGACTTTAAATTTGCAACATAAAACCTTCATTGTACTATGAAAGAAATGTCTTTTTTAATGTAAAAATACGTTTCTCCAATAGATTCACCAATGATTTACGTAGTTAATCCAAGTGAGTAGCTTTGCTCATGATAAAATCCAGCAATGGTTTTACACATTTAGATATTACAGAAACAGAAAGCTATAGGCAGAGTCATTTTATAAACTAAATCGTACTCAAAGTATTGTCTTTAGACTGCAGTAAATTAGTAAGGTCCTTGGTAAATTATGAAGGTGTTTAAGGGATCATGTATATAATATAGCCACATCTAGAAACAGCTCAGTGTGCATATGCCGACTGGGCACTTTACTTTTAAAAAACTAACTCTGCCCTTTCATTCTAGAATTATTTGGCACTGGCAGATTGGAAAGTCCATTTGTATTTCAATAGTGAGGACATGTAGAAGCAAAAACAAAAACAAAAACAAAAAAAAAGAAAAGGAAAAAAACAGAAAAAGAAAGATATCACAAACCATCCTTCATGGGCCAAAGCAGGGTTCTTCTTTACCTCCCCCTATCAAGAGACAAAACCAGGGGTCAAAGTAAAGGACTGGGAGAGAACAGGAGCCAGAGATGGAGGATGTTAGAACAATAAGCCTTGGTGTTACCATGGATATGCAAGGCAAGCAACTTAACAGGGTGGCATATATTTTATCTGGAAACTCCAGGTGGAACTTTCTTTTGAGATCCAAACTTAGGGCATTTTGCTTTTTTAAAAAAAATCTATAAATGAATATGGGCTAGCATATGTAGTTGCTTAGCAAATGTTTATTGAGTGAGTATGTAAATGAATGTTCAAAATTGTGTACATGCTTTCCAGGAGAACTTAATTCAAGGAACTTATACATAAATGCATCCTTTTCTCAGCAAGACTTTTAGATTTCTGTTTTAAATTAGCTTTAGAATATATTGTTCAGTATCTATATTCCCATTTGTCATTTTGTACCAACAAATGATAGTTCCTTTGGCTTTTTTCTGAATCGTATTATCAACAGCCCATCCATTGATGATGGTTCTTAGCCCATGGATATCCTTTGCATGTAAGGTAATTTTGGCTATTTCTTTGGGCCATGAAGTCAGTTTAGACAGAGTGATAACTGTAATATGACAGCATTAGCAATGGGGTTTATAATACTGTAACCTTCATAGCAGTTGGACTGTTGATTTCTATCCAGATAATAGGTAGTTTGAAGTGAGAAAGTGTTGGTTTTACTACTTTGTGACTGAGTGACTTTAAGTAAGTTCTGGGTTCAACCCAAACCTCAGTTTTTCAGTTAATGATAGGTACTTCACATGGTTGCTCTGGGAATTGAATAATTTAAATGAAAGCACTCAACTATAAGCGCCACTAAATTACCAGAGCCATGTAGGAACATATATTTTATATAAGTTGCATTTTCCAACATGATTTAGGGAGCAAGAAACTGTTCACAGCAGCAGCAGCAGGAGGAGGAGGCAGCAGAGACTGGTTCTGATCCTCTTCTCAGTTATTCTTTATTGGGTGACCTTGAGGGATGTTAGCATAACTCTAACTGGAGATAACACTTTATAGGGATGTTCATATCAACCCCATACATAGTGTTGTAAGAGCTCAGGTAATATGAATGGGGTGCCCTGAATATTAAAATTGTGCTTATCACAATGAAACCACGGATGTTTTGTGAATGCAGTGGGTGCCCAATAAGCATATCCCCTAGATAGTCACCAGGAACTAGCCAGAAAGGCTAGCATGGGGTCATACTGACTGTATCTTAGAGGTATGTGCCCTCCTTTAGCCAGAGATCACTGGGTAGAGAGCAGTTGTGCAGCAAGTGAAATCTCCACACACTGGACTTGAGCCCACCTCTGCTGTTGGTGATGAGCCCCCATTTTCTGGTCCAGTCTTCATTATTCCCATTCAGAGGACCTGCCCTTTCCAAGATCCCTCTACACTCTTCTTAACTCTGACTTCCTTGATGCTTTCTTCCCCTCCAAGAAGTCTGCCTTGGTTTTCTTATGCCACCCTGCCACCCCTCCCAACTGTGCTCACCCAAAGAAGAGAATAGGCCTTGTGTTACAACAGAAGATAGAGATGTAGAGAGAATAGGAAAGGCAGGTAGGAACAGTAAAGTATACTGAAGACATCACATGTGTTGTACCTTATCCAGCCTAGGCAGAGCCTAAATAGAATAAGAAAGAATCAATTGAGTGAATCCTTGCAGACCCCCCAGTGCTAAGGTCACTATGGAAAGTTGGGGTGTCTTGGCCTCTTTCAATGACTTTCACTGGAATGTTGTGAGCTTGGGGCAGAACCCTCTGCACTAACTAAACATTATCTCCCTCTTTTTCCCATTCACCTGTCATAGTGTCAGAGCTGGTCCATGAGAAGTAGTTGAAGAGTAGGGATTGAACAATGGAGAAAAACAGACTTTCATCATTCTTCAATCCTCAAAAACGCTTCTCAGCTTCCGGTGCTCAGTAATTGCTGACTGCTAGGAAATCCTCTGTCTGTGCTTTGTGTTAACATTTTGTTCATGGGATCAGTTCTTTTCATTAGCCTGTATAATTGAGAGTAGACTGTATGTTCTACTCTGAATTACATAGCTTCAGAAAAATAGCCTACTTTCGTGATCATCTGAAACAGTTTTTCTTTTTAATATGTTTAATTCTGGATTGACTTTCCTATGCTATGTAAGCGGTTTCTCAGTTGGTTTAATTTATCCCCAGCTCTTTCAGGATAAATGGAATAGTTTAGTCTCTCTTAAAATGACCACATACTCTATGCTAAGTACTTTCTGTCTTTAATTTTCAAAACAAGTTCACAGATAAGCACTTTCTGTACTATTGTTAAGTTACAGATAAGGAGACTGAGGCTTAGAGAAGTTAAATAGCATGCCCAAGTCACTCAGCCAAGAAATGGAATTCATATCTGACTCTTGCCCCCAAATGGATCACGTTAAGTGAAGGGCCTGCTGCCCTTCATGTCATGGTTCATATGTCCATTTTGCACTTTATGTCCCTTCTTAACAAGCCAGACTTGCCAAGCCTTACCAGAGGCTCAAGCCTGGAAAGCCATCAGCTGCCGTTTATCATCTTCACTTGACTCAGAGAGCAACAGTCAGCAGACCATTCATTTCATGAATATCGTCAGAATTCCTTTAAGGTTTGTTGTAAATGATATGCAGGAAAATAAGATGATAGAAAAATATTAAGATTCCTGCTGAGTGATATTGTTTCAGATCCATACATTTAAGAAGGAAAATTGTGGGCACCTGACCAATGTGAAAATATACTACATTTAATCAGTCCGTTCTCAGCACCAAACATAGAGAGCACTTTTCTCTGAGCAGCTCCCAAAGTGCTTTGTGTGCGCTTTTCCTCATTAACTAGCACACCAGTTTTCTATGGCAGGGTAGGAACCAGGATACTTTTTTGTCCTATTTTAAAATGTGGGGCTGCTAATGCATTGAGTGATTAAGCAAGTTGCCCTCGGGTCATTTGCTGACAAGGCCAGGACTAGAGACCTCAGGGGTTGTAGACCACCTCAAGAAGTCCGGTAAATTCACAAAGAGCCATAGCAAGTGCTTGGTCCAATTCCTCATTTATTTACAGAAGGCAAAACAAACCCAGAGAGATGAAAACATTTAAAAAGCCCAGGGTCACACAAATAATTAATGGCATAACCGATACTACATGCATACAAACAGCATACATATATATGCTATGGAGGAAAAGATGACAGCTGTGAAGAATCAATTTGAAGTTGGATTAGAAGGGTGTGAAAGTAAAAAGCCTTCATCAGTGACCTTGCCTAGAGGAAAAGCACAGAGGGTGAAAGTTTCAAACAGCAAGAGCATTTTAACACAGGCAAAGTTTCAACCTCCCAACAGCCAAAATACCATCTGGAACTTAAGGCACGCTTCCCATTAAAGGTGACAGGTGGGCATGTTTTAAGAGATAGTTGGCCAGCCTATAATAACTGCTATAAATTGTACTGAAAGCACAAGGATAGCGAGGACCAGCTGAGTTCCAAGCATGTTTACAGCTGACAGAAATGTCTCATCTAAAAATAACATTCAAGAGTCTCTAAGGGAATCTCTCATTTCCAAAAAATTTACCAACATAAACACTATGCATAGACTGAGCTCTTTAGCAAACTGGGATTATCATCAATAAACCTTCCCTAACCTCTCTTATTTTAGTCTAAAAATGGAATCTTTCTCTTTTAGCCCTGGGATCCTATACATCATATTGTCCCATCAGTGTGCTTCAGAACTAGCCCTTTTATGTTTGAAAACACCAGGAAAATTGTCTAATGAGAGAAAGTTCCACAAATGGATCATAGATATAAAACATTTAACCCAGAACCTGGCATAATAAGGATTTGATGCAAAGCTGTTTTACTGCTATTGTTACCATAATACATGAAGCCTCCTTCCTAGATGTCAGAATGGAGAAAATGAGAACAAGTCAGGGCACTTCTTGTAAATGTTTGAGAGGTGGATTCCTTGTCCAGCTGCACAGTTCAGATGTTGAAACATTACTCGAGGGAGTTTCAGGCTTTGGGCTTTAGGCAAAGGCATGGAAGAGTTGTAGAAGGAACTTTCTACCATGCACAAATGTAATGAGGTGGGAGAGGTGGACCAAATGCTTTAGAGCGGTTCATCACCTCTCTAGAATCAGAAAACAAGTGTTGAGAACCAATAGTACAAACAAAAGCAAGCTTGAGCAGTTATGCAAAGTGATGTCCCAGACCCACAGACCTAATTAACAGAAGGGTAACACATGTCATCATTCAATGACTATTCTTACTTACCTTACTATTTTTAAGTAGCTTGATCATTTGGCGTCTTTGCCAATAGAAGACAAAGCAGTAAATACAGAATAAAGAAGGGCTTTTGCCAACTGCCTAGAAAAAATAAAGAGACAGAAAAACTATTTTAGAATTGACCTGAAAGTTCAAAAAGCATATGGAACCATTTAATGGAGGCTGGGGGCAGGGAGGGGGTATGGAGAGGATGTAGCCTTGTAATAAGAATACCATGCAAGTATTCCCACACCACCCTTGGTGGTCTGCAAAGTGATTTCATATGTATTTTATGTCAACAACCAGCACAATGAGGTAAGTAGGCCTGTATCCCTCGGAGGCATTTGGTGATTTGTCATAGTGGTATAGTGTGTTGATGCCTAATTTTGAACAGGGCCATGTGACTCAGAGATCACCATGTTGTCTACCACCTACTCAGCTTCCACAGCCACTGAAGCCAATCTACAACTCAGTACAGAATAGCCAATTCACTCTTAAGTTTCATTTTAGGAAGATTTTGCCATATACATATAAAATTGAAAGTGTAGTTTTCAGTCTTACAGTCAATAATGGGTACATTTACTAGGCAGAGGAGAAGAAATGGGACTTTTCTAAAAGAACCTGGTTATAAAACCATTATTCTCACTTCCCACGGATTGTAGAAAACCTCTGCCTCCAGATATATTTCTCCTAATCTCATAGTCATTTGATAATATTAGCTGGAAATACCCAAATCTTTAATGCGGACACTGAAAATGACTGTCTTAGAAAACAGCATTTTCTTTTCCCTTCCAAATGACCTCTGAAGAGTTGCACGGTGAGTATCTTGTAACTTTCTAAGAGAACCATTTTTGGACATGAGGAAAATGGAAAACTCTAGACTATCCCGGCATTCTTAGAGCACACTTTCTCAGAGCAGAAAAGGCCAGGAAGGCCTAGATCTTTTCAATCAAGGATGAGCCATTAAATGATTCGTTTTCATTTTTTTTTAATTTTTTGCTTTTCTTTCTGTTGTCTTGTTTCTCTGTCTCATTCTCCTTGGCTGTGTCTTGTTCTGTCCTGCTTTGCTGTCTCTTCCCACATCAACAGGTGAGAAGCCCCACCAATGCAGCATCTGTTGGCGCTCCTTCTCCTTAAAGGATTACCTTATCAAGCACATGGTGACACACACAGGAGTGAGGGCCTACCAGTGTAGCATCTGCAACAAGCGCTTCACCCAGAAGAGCTCCCTCAATGTGCACATGCGCCTGCACCGGGGGGAGAAGTCCTATGAATGCTACATCTGCAAAAAGAAGTTCTCCCACAAGACCCTCCTGGAGCGACATGTGGCCCTGCACAGTGCCAGCAACGGGACCCCACCTGCAGGCACACCCCCAGGTGCCCGAGCTGGCCCACCAGGCGTGGTGGCCTGCACAGAGGGGACCACATATGTCTGCTCCGTCTGCCCAGCAAAGTTTGACCAAATCGAGCAGTTCAACGACCACATGAGGATGCATGTGTCTGACGGATAAGTAGTATCTTTCTCTCTTTCTTATGAACAGAAAAAAAAAAAAAAACAACAACAACAAAAGAAATAAACAACAACAAAAAAAGCTATGGCACTAGAATTTAAGAAATGTTTTGGTTTCATTTTTACTTTCTGTTTTTGTTTTTGTTTCGTTTCATTTTGTACTACATGAAGAACTGGTTTTTGCCTGCTGGTACATTACATTTCCGGAGGCTTGGGTGAATAATTGTTTTCCCAGTCTCCCTCGGATGGTGGCCTTAAGGCCTGGTAGTGCTTCAGGAGGTCCACTGGTTGGATCTCTAGCTACTGGCCTCTAAATACAACCCTTCTTTACAAAAAAATAAAAAATAAAAAAAATCTTTAAAAAAAAAAAAAAACTGAAAAAAAAAGAAAAAAAGAAAAAAAAATTTTCCACTTGTGAAGAGCACTACAAAATATATAACAAAATCTAAAAGGCCTACTGTCTTTAAGTACACCGCTTGCAGTGTTTCAGTGGACATTTTCACAATCTGGCCGCTTGGACTTCACAGTAACCAGTTAAAACTGTGGAATATCACTTCTGGTTGAAAACCCAGAGGAAAGGCCCTGCTGTTTCCACCTACCACGTTGTCTGATTTCTTTAAAGGGCTGTGGGGTGGGAGGGGGCAGTGAGCTCAGTGGTGTGGGAAGAAAGTGGCATGGCAGGCTTCTCCCCCGTGATTCTGCCCAGTCCACACACCCTAGCCCACCTCCTCCGTGTCCCCCCCCTTTCAGCAAAAGCCAGGAAGACTTGGACAAGCAACAAGCAACAGTGGCTATCGTATTTATTCAGTGTCTTCGCTGAGCCACAGCCTCAGCACAATCAAGAGGGACTTTCATGAAAGGCAGGAATGCAGAGAAAACAAAGATGTCAGAGATTTGCACCTATGTTTCTAGGTACAAGAGAAGGACTATTTCCAACAATCTTTGCAAAAAAAAAAAAAAAAAAAACAAAGTGTCAGGATATATTCTTGTGGAAGAGAAAAAGAAAGAGAAATGGAGGGTGGGGGGAACAGTAAAAGTTCTTGAGGCTTTTTTAATTCAAAATTTTATAGAGGGGCAAAAGTGACGTTTACCAGATAGAATGCTGATTTTTTTAATATATTTACAACAGTATTTGTGTAAAAAAAGAAACAAAAAAGTGAGATTGTTAAGAGTAAATTTTTCTCCTTTTGGTTTGCATACACTGCCACCAATCCTTTCTCTTTCACTTGGTCTCACACACATATATATATATTTTTTGGTAAGTCAAGACTGTTAAGGTTAGCGATACTGCTTCCAGATAGAAAGAATTAAAGGCAACTAAAGTTATATTTGAAAGAGAGGAAGGTTATTTTCTTCATATTTTTTTTATTTTTCTTAATTTTTATTATTTGAAGTATTGCCTGGGTTGCTGAGGCCTCTGGGCCTGCCCACCCTGCTGTAATTTGAACTGCTGCTTTGTATTTTGATATGTAGATCTTTGACTTTTAGCAAGCTTAGGTTACTCCACTGACTATTTTGTTTTCACTGATCCATCTAGAATTCTATCCTTGTTCATGGGAGGGACTTTATCATTCAGAAGCAGATTTCTTGCTTCTCTAAAATTTCACTGAGCTCTTAGGATTCTAGACTTTCCATTGACTTTGCTGAGGGAGTGTCTTTGATGAAACACTAGTAGTCTAGAGATCTTGACAAATGGGTTTGTTTCTTTTGTGGTCAGCTGGGAGGAGGACTCTATCACACTCTGCCATGTCTCCTCACTCTGAACATCGTTCGTTGAGAAGCCTGTTACAAACCATGATGCAGCGATGCCAAAATTACTTTCTTCCTTTCAGACATCACCTTCTGACCCTTTCTGTGGCAAAGAGGGCGGAATATGATGTTCGTTGTTTAGTTGATTTAGTAACCTTGCTTTTTGGAAAAGTCTTAGAGGAGTTTATGATTTCCCCAATGCCAACATCCACCTTTCAGAAGGCCAGGAACCTATTGCACCATCCCAGATGCCACTCCCTCCTCCTGGATGGGATTTCTCTCCTCAGTCCTGATCAAGAAATCGTAATAGAGATTTTCCAATTATTACACAGTGTCCTGAAGGGATTCTAGCTCAAAAATAGGATTTCTTAAACCTAGCTAATATTTCCAAAGTGATTTCATGACTGGGCATGTTTTAGCACTCTTAAAAGGAAAAGTAAATCTTCCAATAATGCAAAAAACACGAAGCTACAATTTTAAAAAGAAGAAAAGAGAAGATATTTTCGTTTCTAAATTACTCTACATTTTAATTTAATTTTCCTGTTAGCATTTTATTTACAAAAACCATGCAGCAAATGAGGGAAAATCTTCCAAGGCAAGCAACTCTATAATGACTAAATTGGTTTTATTCATATATTTTAGACAATTGGTTAACTTGGTTCTTTTCCATAAGTTCTTTGTGATGTCCAGTAGTTTGTGCAACTGGAGTATTTGTGGAGTTAAATTGGTCCTATGGTGCTTAATTCAGTGGCTATTTTGCTAGCAGTTGTAATGTAGACTTGGATGGTTAAATGACTACTAACTGTCACCCATTGTGATTGCTAAGAAGAGGCTAACCAAGAACTATATGGCCTGTTTTAAAAATCAGCTTCAGAAATATAAAAGTCCTTATTTGTTCCTGTTGCTGATTTTACTGTTGAAAGGATCAGTAGTGACTTAATATTTCCACTTACCACCAATAGAGGGAGTATTAATTAACTATGTCATGGAATTGTTTTGCTGTTTTGAAAAATGCATTGTTCAACCCATACAATGAAAAAGATTGGCAGAAAAAGACATACGATCTCTCATTATATAATCAAATGAAAGAAGACCAGAAACCACTTTAAAATATTTTTACTATTGGCAATAGTACATTTAAAATAGTGTCTTGTCTTTACTCAAATCTTAGCAAAGTAGGCAGAATTCATATTACTTCCAGAAAAGCTGATCTTGAGTGCCATTGAGCTGCATTTCCCTGTCTGTTCTCAAATCTGAGAGAGATCCATTTACTTTAATGCTGACTTACCTTGTAAAAAGCTGAGCAACTGAGTCATAATCCACCTTTTGTTGTAGAGCATGCAGAGAACAGAGGCAGGTGACTTGCGACCCTGACAGATGTCTTTTCCCAGTAAAGGAAGTGTCCCTTTTAAAATATTGGGGGGGGGTGTCCCTAAAGAATTCTTGATCAGATAATATCATAAAGGCTTGTTCCTACTGTATGCATTTCTCTCCCAAATATCTCACAGCCTAAAATAGTTGGCAGATTGTTCTCTGGAGCCAGGAAGAAGCTAGATGGAGTGGAAGCTCTGGTGTGAAGGAGCACAGAAACTACATAGGGTTACTGCTGTATGTCTGGCCTCTAAAGGGCTACTTTCCAAACTGTTCCACATTTTGGGAAAGAAACTAGTTTGTACCTATTTCAAAGGGATATGGATACTTTCCAATTGCCTGCCCACAATCTCTAGTCAACAATCACAAATATCATAGGAAATAGAGAATGAATATAGATTCTTCTAATTTTTTTTGGTTTCGGGCCTACAGTTTTTGTGCTAGGATGCTATCAGAGCTTTAGAAACAAGAAAGGAAAAAAAGGTTCTTTTTACTATCCAGGGGAAAAAAATAGATAAGATGGAAACAGATATTTTAGGCAGAAGGCCTCTTAAAAAGGACTACAGGAAAAAGAATTAGGACACAGAAGAATGTTTTTATAATCTATGATTTTAAAATGGAATTTGTTAAATACAGAAAAAGAAAAATATCAAATAGGAATGTTTATCACAAAACATTTATGTAGAAATTATGAAAAATAAAATTTCCTAGCACTAAAAACATTGATAGTATCTCAGCATAGTAATTTTTCAAATATTAAATGTCAACATTTGTGCAAAAAAGATCCCCTATGTAAAATATAACCCTACAAAAGAAAGAATTGGAACTAATGTCTATGATACAGCTCTACAATTTAAAAAAATAAGCCTGGAGAACACGCCAGCCCACCTCACCCCACCCCCCAAAAAAATAACTGAATTGAAAATGTTTAATTGAGTGGTAAACTTACCCTCCTCATTAAAGTTTTACAGGCTCCCCCTACCACAGTTCTTATGCTTTACATCCATGTGTGCCACAAGTAAGCGTTGTGGGTAATCCCAGCTCATGTCCTAGATGCTGCCACCCCATCCTCCCAGCATCTAGGAGGCCATAGTAGCCTTAGGCTTTAGAAACACTTGGATGTGCCTTGCCTACAAGTCAGAGATATTTTATCTTATATCATACCATTCTATGAGGACCAAGAAAACCCTTTTCCAACCCATTCTGAAAATGAGGAGAAAAATGGTTTCCTCCAGGTACGCTTGTTCAGCCTAAGTCCTATTGTCTTGTTCTACGTTTGCTTCCATCTCTCACACACACAGCAGCCTGTGTGTCCTGCTCATGGCTCCAAATCAGTGTTTTCTTTTAGCACATCAACTAAAAAGGAGATGTGCACTCGTATAACCCCTTGCTTCCTTATTGGGATTCTCCTTTTGTGTAATACTCCCAACACCTGTTACCCTGGGAAAAAGTGGAATTGAGGTAGACCAGGCTAGGATGCATAACAGATATGCCCATTCTGAGCCTTTTCCTGATGTTGCTGAAGATGTTATTTGATTAGATAGGGCTTGGCACAGGGAATATATAGTTCTACAGATGATCACATCAGACTGCCTGTGCTGTGACCAGTGTACAGCTGCAGAAGGGAACAAAAAGAAGGTATAGTAACAACAGACACACAGATGCCCTGGCAAGGAAGAGAGCAGGAGAGTGCCTTTTCTGCTGTGACTTGACTCTTGAAAGAAACCTTCTAAAAGAATTCTTTAATTTAGTAATGAGTTGAAGTTCAGGGTGATGGAAGCTCTGGAGAAGAGAACAAAAGAATTGCAAAATGTATTCAGTACCCAACAATGCCAAACCAGAAAACATCCAATCACAAAACTAGGAAGTTTGGCAAGAGGTACTTAAAGAAATCTCTGGGCTTTTCCAAGTGTAGGGTCCACATACTTTCTTTTGAGTGATTTCTGGCTCTGAGAAACCTCTTTACTCACTAGAAAAGAACTTTATTTAAATGGCCAATTTTGTCCCCCAGAAAAAAGAAATTTAAAAAAAAAAGAAAAGAAAAAATAGGACACTGAAGACAGAACCATGTGAGTTGGTGACAAGCAAAAGAAAAGGGTTCCCTAGAATTTCAATAGACTCCCTAATTCCATAGAAAAAAAGCAGAGCTACCCAAAGCCCCTCATGTCCAGACGCCCGGTCTGCTGAGAATGGAGAGGTACTTGAGCTGACCCAGCCACTGCCTTTCCAAGGCTATACATAACTTCTCAACTGGGCCTATGGCAACCTACTTCTCCTCTGTATTTTCATAAAGAAAAAGGGCTGTTCTCTTAGGTGCCCAGGAAATAGATCATGCAGGGCAAACTTTCAAAAACAATTTCTGTTCTGGTGCTCAGGTTGCCTGAGGACACAGAAAAAGGGCCACAGAAGAACTTCAGCCCCTACAAGAGAATACTTTCATGTTCTCAAGGGCTCTGTGTGTTGAGTTGTCATTTAATACCTTTTAAAAGTCCACAGGAGATAGGCTGTGATTAGTCTGTGTGCCTGTAAACATGCTTATAAAAATTACTAACCCAAAGCATCATTTTTAGCATTGGGTGGCAAGATGATCAGCCTGACCAAAATACCCCAAAGAGTTTTCTAAGACTCTGAAAATGATTTTTTTTCCCTCCTTGAACGTTGAATCACCAACAGTCACTGAAGTACATTAGCAGGTCCCAGGAAATGATTGTAGGATTATAGAGTTAGTTTCTATTCTTAAAGTGAAGAAGTAAAGATGAGGGCTGCATGTCACAACTTCAGAACTGTGTATTTCCTCTTCTGATGTTGACTCCAACATCCCTGGAAATGCCCTGGAACAAAACATGAGTCATCAGCTTTTCCATACTACTGATTGAGAGCTGCCCTTCTCCAGTGGTTTTTTTAAGGACCCACCTGTTGCTTCACAGACTCAATACTGAAGTGACCTCAGCTGTGGACTTTTCACACAAAACCATTAGGTTGTAGAATTATTGCCTTAAGTTAGAAACACCCCATGGTGTAGGAGGGGGTGACAACCCAGAAATTGGAAGACTGTGAAGATAGGGACATTTCTTTTTTTTTTTTTTTTTTTGGTCTTTTTGAGACAGGGTCTCCCTGTAGCCCCAGCTGTCCTGGAACTCACTATGCAGACCAGGCTGGCCTTAAACTCAGAGATCCGCCTGCCTCTGCCTCCCAAGTGCTGAGATTAAAGGCATGTGCCACCACACCCGGCCATTTCTTGCTTTTTAATAGTTGCATAATCACAAAATTAAGCCCTGTTCATGACTGAGGACTATGAAACAGTGACTTCCTGGGGGAGGCACCAAACTTGTAGGGGAACTGGCTGCTCTCAGGAAGTGGCGATTTCCTGTCTATTTCATTGATAGGTCAAGGCTGAATGTAAAATAGGCATCATATTGCTCAATAGTGAGTCCCATAAACCATAATCACAGGTGCCTGTGATGACAGTCTTAAATGTTTCCTGAACAGGGAAAATGATTCCAACATACAGCTTTCTTACCCTAAATAGTCTCTACTTTTTTCTCTCAGTTTTGGAGTGCATCTGGTTTTTCTGGTGGGTCTTGTTTCAATGCGGAATCAAAACTGTCAAGTCTTTAGTGCAGGAGTACAATACAGATCACAGACAAAATCTAGCCCCAGTCATGGAAGTCCCAGTTTTAACAATGCCCCAAAACACTCAGAGTCTACTGGATCTCTTTCAGATTCGGAGGTTTCTTGGTTCAGAATAATTATAGGAGACATCCATTTCTACTGCTGTTACACTTGCTATTGCCGGGAAGCATCATCGAAATTTGTATGTGGATGCTAGTAGCAAAAGTGTTTTAATCCGCCCAGTGTTGTCTCCTCCTACCCAGAATGTCTGTATGTGAGTATACCTTATGCATGTGCACACACAGTGTGAGGTGCTTTTACTGCAAAATTGTTCTCCATTCATACCCGCCAGTGACAACAACAGAGACTTAGAAATTTCCATCTAGAAATTAAAGACCTGACACAGTGCACATCTCTGCGTCCTGCTCTGTTGCCTTAGTCAGGTGTCTGAGTATCTGTGGTAAGGCTTTAGACCATTTGGAAGTAGCTGAGCCATCAGAAGTTTCTGTCTATCCCTTTGAAGAGAAACTTGAACAAATGCTACAGTTCTATGGATTTAGTGGGAGGGCATGTGTGAGTGTGTGTGCGTGTGCATTTGTGTGTTGAGACATATTTATTGTTGTACGGGAGTGGGTGCCTCTCAAATGAAGCACACACGGGCAGAGTTCCTGGTGCATAGATACAGTTGCTTCTACCATTGTACTCAAACTCATGGCTTCCTTCCCAGGAAGCAGTCACCTGCCCACTCTGTTGCTTTATTGTAACATTTCAGAGTTGGGAGAAACAAAGGCAGCTTGTTGGCTCCACAGAAAACCCAAGGACAGGCTGTTTTCCTTGAGAAAAAGGTGGAGTACAAGTACTCAATGGGGGAGCAGACCAGAGGGTCTTGTAATCCAGGGCACCTCACAGGACTCTTGGAGGAGAAGCACCCAGGCTGGACATGTAAAGCCCATACATCCCAGGGCCATCCCAGAGCTCAAAGGCCATGCCTGTCCTCTTTGAAACCTTCACATCTTTTGTGAAGAAGCAGAATCTGCAGATCATAGACAAAAATCTAGGCCCAGACATGGAAGTCCCAGATCTCAGTGTGCGCGCACTGCACGCACACACACACACACACACACACACACACACACACACACACGAACCACGTGTGAGTTTTACACTCAAACTGAAACTTCCTAATGCTGCCTGCACTGCAGGATGTCACTAATCACTCACAAACAGTGTCCCCTGGAACCAATGTGGCCTTTGCCCAAGTCTTTCCTGGAATGGGTTGTTTACCATGTCTAGCAAACCAATAGATTATCAGGGGAATATCTTGGGGGCAAATATCTAAGAATTGATGGCTCTTGCCCATGTCAAATGTTTTAAAAAAAAAAAAATGCCACTCTAGTGTAATACACAGAATGAGGGAACTTGGTGCTCCTAGGTGACTTTTAATGGCTTGGTGACTGGAAACAGTTGGATTCCGTTTTCTCACTCCCACACCTTGCTTTTATGGTTTCTTATTTTTTACGACATGTAGATTATTTCTGCTTTACAGAATTGTAAGGACGTTTCTTCCCTTTTTTATTTTAGTGACAGTTCCCCTTCCTCCATTCAGTAAGACTACTTACTGTTGTAACTTTTATTGTTTATTTTTTTTTAATGTATATTGTCTTTCTATATCCAAAAGAAGTCTGTGACTGTAACCACAGGTATTTCATTTTACTGGAAAAAGTTCTTTTTTTTTTGTTTGTTTCTGTTGTTGTTTTGATTAACAGTACTAGTGACTTTGTGGAAGACTATTGTTACTTTTTAGGTATGCTTACTTAAGTACAATACACTACATTGCAGTATTTCTGAAACCTAGAACATAATGCATTATATACAACAACTCTATATTGAGATATATTACATTATATTCATTTTAACTTTTGAATCTGCCTATGATCATCGGTTGATTGAAATATTATTTCTTCCTATATATCACCCATCACCAACCTGCTGCAGTTAATCTGGTGCATTTAATAACCATTGTGGCTCTAGTTTGCTTTTTATATTATCAGCTTCAGTGTTGTCTTTTAGAAGATTTTAGGATTTTTTTTTTTTTTAGGTTCAGACTTAGCAAATGTAAGAGAGTGAAAACTGTTTTAAACTCAAAACATTATTTTGATGTGGCTAATACAAAGACGTTCGTATTCTAAGTGATCTTGTTTAGCTGACCCTGTCAACATCTGAAGAACAGAGGAAGTACATTTGAATTATCTGTTATTTTCCCCTGTAGATGGTCATTGTCTATATTTGCTTTTTAAAAATCTGACCAAGGGGCTGCTTAACCTCCATGTGATCTGTCCAACTGTCTTAAGCTGCTTTTTAAAGGGCTGCTTTGGTGAGAAGCTGAAGAGAGTGAATGCCTAGTTGTCCCAACTGCATTTTCAAACATCGATTTTCAATACTGATTTTTCACTGGCTGCTTTCTTTTTTCAATATGCTTGTAATTATTTTCATTAGTCGTAATTAAGCATGTCCCCGTAGGCAGCTTGGCAGTGTGGTATTCATTTTCCCAGGAGATTTGTTTTTAAACTAAAACCAGATTTTGAGAGAAGTTTTATTGACAATTCAAATGGTGGCTCTTGGTTACCTGACCTTTAGTATCTCCACTTGCCTATTAAAGTGGAGATGTGGCGGCTTTCTTCATTAGCCAGGCCACCAAGGAACATTCAGAAGCCAGACAGCCTATCTTCTAACACAAAAGCACTTTCAGGTAGGGAGTTTCTTCAGCTGTTCAATCCAAAGCCTGGGTGTCAGAGTTCAATCCATTTTTCATCTGTCTTGGGTTCCTGAAGCTGGTTTCATTCTCTACATTCTATATTCAGGACAAAATGAAAACAGCTTTTTCTAAAACTTGGTATAAAACTTCCCCACAGTAGACCAATGTTTTGGCTCCTCTGTGTGAATATACCACTTCCTCCTTCAATCTTCCCACATACATTATGATCTTCAAGTCTCATCCCCTTCTGCTGTGCCTGCCCGGTGCATCTCCATCACCCACCCAGACTCTCCTTAGCATCCTCCATTGGCGAAGCCTGGCACTCAGTAAAGAGCTTGCCCTTCTTAGTCTCTTTTGAGGAGGCTAAAATAGATGCCAGTGCCTCATCCATTCTCAGTGAAACTCATTGAACAAAACAAGAATGATTGTTCTTCTTCAGCGATTACATACTAGGTAGATTACCTCAACTCCATTATTTTCTTCTTCCCTTATCTTACCACATTCTGTTTGTTTCTTGTTTCCTTTTGTAGAAGACTTTAAGTTACCTAGACATCTCTTCACTGCCCCCCAGAATTCTAATATTACCCTGTGACCTGTGGCTGTTCATGCCTCTTCCTTCTCCCAGCCTTCTTAGCATCTTTCTTTAGAGGAGTTCATAAACTTGAGACTCGTAGGCAGAATGAAGCATGTCTTCATTAAAG